ATCCGGGACCCAACTGTCCTCCGGAAGCAGGATCTCATCGAAATCAAGCCGATCCGCCTCGTTCACCGTAAGTTCCACTCGCAGCCGATCTGGAAAATCCTTGACCAATTTCAACTTCGACACGTGTACTACTGGGAAGATCTGGTACCCGGGCCCTGCGATCTCGAGCTTGACTCTGAATTCGTTGATCTTTTCAGCGACGCCCGTGCCACAGGTGGGCCAATTTCCGGGCGTATCCCTCCTTCACCCGATCTAAGTATAACCAGATGCGAGATCCGGCCTCGATCTGGTGCGATCCGACGTCCTCGTTGTGTCGGCTGGCCCGGTCTGCAATGCCCTCCTTCAATCTGGCATTGCCTTGTTCTCGGGACTGCTGATAATATCGTTGGACCCGATAACGCCACCGCCGCGCGTCTCGATCGCGCCGTCTCGTACATCCGACTGGCAGTGTAGCCTCCAGTGTCGATCTCGGATCCCGCCCATGCACCAAATAGTGAGGGGTGTCTCCCCGGATCCGATCGTGAGCCGTGTTGATCGCGAAAGTAAGACGCTCAGTGTATTCGTCCCAATCCTTCTGATCGAGATCGCAGACGTATATCTTGAGGGACCTGGTCGTGGTCTGCACCATTCTCTTAGCAGTCCCGTTAGCCTAGCCTGTGGACGATATGCCATCGTCGCCCGCTGCCGCTGCCCCAAAATCTTGTTAAACGCCCGGAAGAAATCAGACATGAAACCTGGTTCTCGATCATGCCGGATCATCTCACTGGCGCCAAATCGCCGAAATACACACTCTTCGTACGATTCCGCAACCGTCTGGGCTGATCGGGACGAGCTTGCTTTCGCGATCACATATCCTGTGAACACATCGACCCAGATCAACAACTCCGTGTTTTCCTTGTGGGATCTGGGTAGCGACGGTATGTGATCCATCGCAATGATCTGGAACGGGTACGTCGCTTGCAAGTTCCCTGGTGATTCGCCCCGGATCACCGGCCTATTCCTGTCTCGCAATCTACGCATTCCCCCACGTACCGCTGGACGCTTCGGTATAATCCTCGCCAATGAAAGTGATCCCTGATCCGCTGGTAGGTTCGCCCCACTCCTTGATGTCCTCCCTCCAACTTGGCGTGATAGTGGTGTTAGACGTCCGACTGTAGCGTTTCGGGAACCACCAATCTCATCAATCGGTCGCGATCGTCTCCCGATCTCGGCGTCGGGGGGCAGTAAAAAAGTAGATTCTGCTCGTCCACCTCGTAGTCGGCCGCGATCTTACCATACGATCTTGCTTCCGCTTGAGTGAGATCTGCGATCGAGCCACTCAGATACTTCTTCATACCGGCGATCCAAACTTCTTCCTCTTGGGCTTGCTTGATCCAATCGACCCAGATCTCCCGGATCAGATCCTCTTGCATGACACCCGCAGGTGATCTCGCTCGACCAGCTCGAGTGGTAACCGCAGCAAGTCGCATCTCTGGATTGCCGGTCTTGGGAATCAAGATTTCGTCTAACCGGTTCAGGGTGACCAGATCTTGGTACCCGGGCATCTCCTGGACCTCGATCCCTCCTTGGCGTTGCAAAGTGTAGACTGTCGGCGCTTCCGTTCCAGTCCCTCTTGACGTGAACCAACTCATGATCACTCCCTTCCCTCAAGCGATCGAGGGCTTTCCGTTTCAATAGCGTCAGTCCGGGTGCTTTACAGTCGATCTCACCCTGTACTTTGTCGGATCACTACGTTGGAATCCCCGCAGACCACCAAACGTCTGCGATCTAAGCTCTCTAGCATGTCGAGCCCCAGGATCAGGCCGTTATATTCGGCTTCGGTCACGGTGAGGCTCTCGAGATAGCCTGATCTGACCTTGACCACCTCCCATCCGGGCAGACTCCACACGATCGCGCTGAACTGAACGCGCCTCCACCGCGCTTGACTCGAGCGGATCCGTCAAAGCTGATCACCCATAATTCTTCATCTCGATCCACGGTGGGTATGGGCGCCTGGATCCGGCGTTTCGGTTCCTTCCGGGGAGCAATCTCGGTCAGAGCGTCGTCGATCTTCGCCCTCGGCGTGATGCTGGCAGCGATCGCCCCCAGTATCTCATCCTCACCCTTTGTGCACTTCGTGATCTCGAGTGTCCATGGGGCCAGGAAGGCAGACCATTGCCCCAGGCGACCTTGTAATCCCGTCGACTTGAACACCCAGGTCAACGTAGAATGCCTCGTTAGGACCCGGATCTCGCGTCCTACTAGCAGATTGTAGTAAAGATCCAAGATCGTCAGCAATGGAAACCTCCTTTTTGGTGACATTGTAATTCAACTCGTTCGTCTTCAAGGTGCGGCTGGCGAATGCAACCGGATAGTAGATCCCGTCGTGTTCTTGTGTCAACGAAGCGGATATCGCCCAATCACTGGCATATACAATGATTACCGGTGTTCTCTTCTCGTCGAAGTGACGAAGAAATAGGGTGGTAGCGATCTTGGTTTTCAGGGTGGTGAAGGCCTTATGTGCCCTGATCTACCTCTCGTCCACAGTTCCCGTCAACTGCGGTTCCGGTGGGTCGTGATCTCGAAGAATCGTGTCGTTCCGGTCCATGATCTCCCTCAGATCCGGTCGCTTCTCCAGTTCTGTAAACTCTACCTCGCGTAATTCATAGAGCACCGAAGCATAGATAGCGTAATCTTCAATGAATCGGCTGTAGTAATTCAGACTACCCAGGAACGACTGCATAGATCGAAGTGATCTGGGGAACGGTAGATCGGTTAGGGATTTCAGATCTTTCGGACTCGCCTCCAACCCTCCGACCGACACTCGGTGTCCCAGATATCCTACCTTATTCATGCCCCAAAAGCTCTTGGCTACACCGATCCACAAATCCCACTTATCACAAGCTTTCAACAGATCCTCCACTCTCCGGCACATTTGATCCCACGATTCCGCTGCGATCATGATATCGTCGATGTATGATCTCCCACCCCAACACTGACTCGCGATCAGGATCGTCCGCGATGCCTGTCTGGAACACGGCCGCTGTAGCCCCAGCGTCGCCAGATCGCGAGACCTTCAAAAATCCATACAGCGCGTTGTATACGAGACGTTGATAAATCTGCGGGGCGTTCTTTAGGCCAAAAGGCATGCGACTTCATTCGAATAATCCAAACGTCATGGGCACGACGCAGAAGCCGCTGGCCATATCCAGCGAACAGTACCATAGTGCTTTATCAAGATCTTCTAGCAGATCGCTGATCAGGGGCATAGGGTAGACCATCAATCTTGTGAGGCTGTTTACCAACTTGTAGTCAATGCACAACCTGAATCCACACCGTTGCTTTTGCGAACTATCCCGATCGCTGAGGCCCATGGCGATGTCGAGGGTCGGAAGATCTCGGCTGCCAGGAGGCCCTTGATCAGGCCTGCGACCTTTTCGTGGAATCGCGTGGGCACTTTCCGGGTTCGCAGTGCCATCGGCTTCGCGTTTCCAACATCGATATCGCATACGACGCCCTTGGCCGCTGGGGGTAAGGCGTTCCCTTTGCCGATCAGCAGATGTCGCTTCTTCGAGATTATCTGCCGGAGCCTCTCGATCTCCTCGCGTGTGGCCGATCCGGAGTCTCCTACCAAGGCCTGCGACCTTTTCGTGGAATCGCGTGGGCACTTTCCGGGTTCGCGGTGCGATCGGCTTCGCGTTTCCAACATCGATATCGCATACGACGCCCTTGGCCGCCGGGGGTAAGGCGTTCCCTTTGCCGATCAGCAGATGTCGCTTCTTCCAGATTATCTGCCGAAGCCTCTTGATCTCCTCGGGTGTGGCCGATCCGGAGTCTCCTACCTGTGGATCCTCAATGCTCACCTTCGCAGTCGTCAAGATCAGGATTTCGGGGAGGACAGCGAGATTTCCTTCAAGATTTTCCGCTGAGAGGTCACCACTGTCATGGTAGTATACCTCCTCATCGTCCTCGGCATCCTGTGGGGTGGTCGCTGTAGCTCCTTCTGCCGGCTGATCTCGTTGTTCGACGCTCTCAGTCGGCCAGATCGGGAGTTTAGCGTCTGGTTCTTTGCCGGGATCGAGTTTGATCTGGGCTTGATCGAGTTGGATCTGGGTTTGATTTTCTGTTTTCGGCTCGATATCCTTGGTGCCAGTCTGATTCTTCATCTTAATATCCTTGGTGTTCGTCCGATTGGTGGCCTGGTCCGGCATGCTCTCACTTCTCAGCATCGCCGCTCAGGTATCGATCGGCATCGGAGCTAGTCGTTGGCGTAGATGGGCGTCCTCTTTCCGGATCGGGGAATTCTGCCTCGATCTGAGTTGCGTCGGCCATTCCCGCCCTCGGTCGAGATTCTAGTGTCGATACCCATGTTCGATCTCTGTCAGTCTCGTCGGATCCCGGCCGGCGAAGTATCGATCATGGCGTGGGATACGATGGTCGTGGTACTGCCGGCTCCGCAAAGTCCTCTATAAGTTCAGGGGGGTCCGAACTAGTGCCCACGGTCGATTCTAGCGCCAGATTCTGCTATTATTGGTACCGACATGACCCGACGGACACGAACCCTGGTGATCGGGGTACTTTGTCCTGATCCAGTATCATGCCGACGTCCAGGCGGTGATCTAGCCGCAGGATCCTATCTCCGATGTTCGTGATCACCTGGTAGCGGATCCGACCTGGGCCTTCCGTAACTGTTGGTACCCATCGTTCTCCTCTGGTGACCCACAACTTCTCTGTGGCCGACAATTTATTCTCGCCTCTGTTTCTTCCGACCGACCGACCGGGATTCGTAGAGAATGTTCGAGGGTCACAGATCGCACCTTCTCGCCATATAATCTCTTACGACCATTAAGCGCGGTATTCCCACTTCGTCAGGTAACCGCACCGACCCCTCGGCGAGGTCCATCCGTACACCGGCTGGGACCATAAAATCCATGCCCAGGATCGCGTTCTGCCCTGTGAGATCTCCGATCCAGATGTCGAAAAAATATACCAAATATCCCGCTAGAGTGATCTTGATCTTGGTTCTTCCTTCCGTAGTATATGCGTTGTCACCAATTCCCACACACTCTTGTCTCTGACTAGTGTCAAAATTGCACCCCACCTTACGAGCAAAAGTGGTGTCCAAGATTGATATCTCAGCACCAGTGTCTAGGAGGAGGATCGCTCTCTCATGATTGATCCTGCCCAAGATCTTGGCTTGTCGGAACCGTTTTCCCGGGGAATAACGTTTCCAATAGCCCCAGGACTCTCCTCTTTTGAGATCTAAGGCAACCTCCACATTAGATCTGCTGAGCGGATCTGGGGAAGACTGCGATCTTGGCGGTGTACGAATACAAATTACATGTATTACCGCGTAGGTCCGACTCCTTCCTACCTCGATCTGCCGTCGCCTTGTTCACATAGGCGTAGATGCAATATCTAGAACGCTCGGCTCGTACTGGATTCCACCCTGGCGAACGTCCTAGTTTAACACCTTCTCGACTTGTTCGGGGAACTGCCCGGCGTGTCGAGGCGGATCGTACCATTTGCGGATCTGATTGTAGAATTCCTCCATGGGGCATTCTCCTGCTTCATGGATATCTCCGCATCCACGACATGCATACAGACAGCGATCCGTAGGGTGACCTCTTTTCTCACATTTTTCACATATCAGACGCTTCCAGCAGTCCAGATCGGTGTGTTTCCTGGACCCACAATGGGAACAGCGCTCTCGAACTTGGTGATCTCTGTTTCCTGGGCTGCGGCGATCCGAGATCCGGGATCCCTCAGACGCTTTCGTTCGGGATCGTGCCGGATCTGGATTCTGCGAAGCGCCCCCAGTGCTGATCAAATTCTCTTCCGCTGCAGCGAGGAAGATCCTTCGCAGGTCACCTTCCGAGTCGGATTCGTCTGATCCTGACACTCCTTCTGACTCGGGAATCGGATCATGCGTTTGGATCGCGCGTACCGCTGCACAGGCTGGCGCGACCGGGTTCTGTCGAAATTTCGACCCGAACGCGGATCTGCGTTGCCTGCTCTTGGCTTGTTCCCGCGCACGGAGAACTTCCTCGAGTTCGTCGACGTCAGCCAATCGTAATAGTGTTAGGCGGTCTGCCAATTCGGGATCGCCTAACGTTTCGATGTAATGATCGACGTGTTCCCGGCGCGCCTTCGGATTTCCATCCTTGATCTTGGGTTTGGCTCGCAGAGCGGCCACGTTCTGTCGATACAGACAATCGAGTGGGGTTTCCTCGGATCTCTTTCGGGAATGGTAGTATTGTCACGCCACTGACATACCCAGACCACAATATTGGTTTGGAAACTTTCGAATAGATCCGCCCATTTGGTCTTGGTAGTCCGACTTAACTGTCGGTGCCAGTTCTTGGCTGATCCCACTATCAGATCCCCGAACGTGAGGCGCTTCTCCACTTCTGTTGCTTGATCTCGCTGGAACGCTGATTTCACTTTGCCGATCCAAGCTCTGGTGCGATCTTCGTCCATGTCCTTTCCGGTAGACTCCTTCAGATCTGAGATGGCTGATATTCGGACCCTTTGGATCCGTGATGACGAATTCCCAGAGCTGATCGCAGCCGTGGCGACCGCAGCTCGGCCGGGATTATGACCGGCGGAGCTAGGAATCCCGAGATCGTCGGGATCGTTCTCCCAGGAGTTTAGATCCGGGGTGCTGACGGACTCCATGTCGACATCCTGCGTTCCGAGAGGTGGTGGTTGCACCGTCACGAGATTCCTTCAGGAATCGATTCATCGCCTTCTGGAAGTATTCGTCCAGTTGGTTGCTAGATCCTGTCGAATCGGTCGTTGGGGTGGTCCCCCCGGCTGGGATCTGGCGCTCTTCCGGCTGATCGAGCTTCTCTGGGGTCCGACTTAATGCCGCTGGCCGTTGATCCGGTCTGTTCCCGCGTGATCTCAGATATTTGGCGCCCGAGGGCCCTAGTGACATACGTTGCGGGACTATCTGAATCCGGTTCCGAGGTAGCCGACGCGTAATGCGACGACCTTTCTGATAGTTCAGATCCGGTGTTTGGACGTGTTCGCCGACCAAGATCTTCAGCGATTCGTAGAGATCTTAAGTCGCCTCCTGGATCGCCCCCAGTTCCATCTCGAACAGGGCATCCGGGTCGAATTCTCCTGCTACTAATCCAGCCTCCTGGAGGAGATCCAGCAGGATCTTCACCGTATTCATCCTATCTGTGCTGGTGTTGGGCTTGGATATCGGGCCTGTCAGATCGCCAAACTGGCGTCCTTGTATAATCGCGAGGACCGGGAACAGAGTCTCGCTTAGGATCTTCCGGTGGTAGGCCTGCTCGATCAAGTCCTTGGCGATCGTTGATCTCGGCTTATGCGCGTCTTCCGATCCCGAATCTGGTGCCTTCAGCTTCGTCCGAGCGGCCTTGATCTTCTTCTTTTTGGTCGATCTTGTCGAGACCGCTGACTTGGTGGACAGATTGGACTTGAACTTGATCGTGTCTTTGTCCGTAGTGTACGGATCTAGATTCTCATCGAGATCCACGGTGACCGTCGGGGCTCAGTGATGGCAATATGGCCACATGCCAGTAATGCATTTCCGGACGTCGAGTGCTGCACCGCGAAACGGCGCAGCCAACTCGCTTGTTGTATAAAATATATTCTAGGGGAAACCCTCATTCAGAGTGCGGCGCCGTTTCGCGGCGCCGCCAACTCTATTATTAACCTAAAAGAATGTCTTCCCTTGCCGTAATTAGACCTGTTATGGTGGGGCTTAAAAGGGGTTAATTCGTCTTCTAACATTATTTTAGTTATGGTTTTTGTCAATAATCTTATTGTGTGGTGTATGCAAGTTTCATGGAATGTGTGGTGCACACACAGCGACGTTTTGCACGCGATACCACAACTATACTGATTTGAATCAAATTTTCCAGCCAATCAAACGTCCACCTCAGCGTACTACACACACGCACACACAGACAACAAATTCAGTATATAGACACACCCACCTTCCTCCAATCTGCAACCATCCTGCAGAGCTTTCATCTTATCTTCCTCGCCTTAGTGCCCGACTCACTAATGCGGATCTCGCGCTCACAGTCCTTCGTGAGACTGCGACACACCGAATCGATTCCGATTGGCGCGATCCCGCAAGAACTCATGGAGTATTGCCCCACAGTTGAGGTCTGCCTCATCGATCCAGGTCGGATCCTCGTACCCACACCAATGTACTAAGAATTTGCGTAGGATCCGGCCATACATTGTTCTCCTGCCCGCCCTCATGTCCGAGATCCTCTTTACGTCATACTCATCATAATCGCGATCTTGGATCCAGCTATCTCCAGACAGAAGTGCTTCGTCGAAATCAAACCGATCTTGATCCAGCACGGTAAAACGTGCTACCGGCCGATCCGGAAATTTCCGGACAGGTTTGACCTTTGACACGAGCACCACTGGGAAGATATTGTATGCAGATGCGGTGATCTCAAGATTCACTGCGTATTCGCCGATCTATTCAGCCACACGGAACGGGTCGTGCTACAGATGCGCGACCTTCTTTGCATAAGCGGAATCCGCGAAAATCTTGTGATCGCGGTTCCCGATACCACTAGCGCCCGGACACCGACTAACGAAGGGGGTCCTCCGATGATCCGTGATCTGGTTGTGTTCCTGCTCACCTTGGGTACCCGACGGCGGGCGGGTTACGCTCTCCTGGGTGACTCGTTCGATGTATATCCGGAAAGGATAGTACGCAGGGGCTTGAGATAGCGCGGAACTTCTTCGCTCTACCTCGATTCGGTTGATCTCGGTCGCTGACGGGTCCTTGAGTCGGGATCGATCTGCCTGGTTGTCGATCCAGGTCTTTAGGTGGTCCAAATGTGGAGAT